GAGGCTCCTCTCAATTTCTAGTCTTAATTCTGTTGCTAACGATATATGTGATCCCAGGCGAGTTACTCATTCTACCCTAATGTTATTGCTATTTTAAACAAGGAGCAAGATTTAGATAACTTGCGAAGTTCACTCCTGTACTACCTTTCAGTGCTTCTCTAGCTAAGAGGAAAAGCTTTTCTTCACCTTGGCCAGGATCGAGGGGAAAAAAAAAAATCAATCAGTTACCATAAGTATGGTAATGCATATGGTATAAAACCAGCCCAGAATCTGGAAAGAGGAAGCAGAAAATAAAATTGGTGTGTAGTTTAGGGGAGAGTGGAGAACACTTCATCTGCTGGGGTTGGGGAGCTCTTATTCCAGTGCCAACCCCTCCAACACCCTACAGTAATGTTTATTTTCCCCTCAGACCCTGTCCCTTACCAGTCCCTTTTGCCCTGGCTTACTGCTCCTCTCTCCAAGTTTGCTCACAGCTTCCACTGTCACACTGTGACACACTGCCTTAAGAGGTCTCAGGTTAGGAAGGGTACTCTCCAAGGTACTCCTAGAACCATCCCCTTCTTCCTTCTTTTGAGCTCGTTTGTATTCCTCTGGTGCTTGGACGTGTGCCTGGGTGTCAAATGAACTCGATCTAGAACCTCAGACTTGGCTGTAAACTCTAAACTGGGTGACTGAGGACAGAGGCAGACTAGAGAGGCTTTCTCACTGTCTGACCCTTTGAAATGCAATCACCAGAATAGTAAGATTAATTCAATATTTTCTCCACAGTTATTTGGCATGTGGGACACAGGATATTACAGATACTTTATATCCTTTTAATATTAAGGATAAAATGGAGCATACATTTTTAATTTTAGGCATAAACATGTATTGAAAAGATAATTAAATTTAGAGTTAAGTATCTGTTTGAATCCCAGCAACTCCATCCACTAGCTATATGACCTCTACTTCACCTCTGAGCCTTACTTTACTTATTTATCAAAATGAGGATTTAAACCCTAACCTTGGGGAGCCTGGGTGGCTCATCCCATTAAGTGTCCAACTTTGGCTCAGGTCATGATCTCACGGTTCGTGGGTTCAAGCCCCGCGTCAGGCTCTGTGCTGACAGCTCAGAGCCTGGAGTCTGTTTTGGCTTCTGTGTCTCCTTCTCTCTCTGCCCCACCCCTGCTTGCACTCTGTCTTACTCTCTCTCTCTCTCTCTCTCCAAAATCAATAAATATTTTAAAAAATTAAAAAAAAAATCCTAACCTCGGGACTGTGAAGGTGGAGATAGTTAAGAACCTAAATAAAGAGGCTTGTAATAACAACACTGATTGGATGCCTATGTGCCTATTAGATACTAGGTGATGTGCACAGAATCACTTTGGAACCTTGTTAAAATGCAGATGTCCTATTCAGCCAGTGTGGGGTAGGGCACAAGATCCTGCATTCCTGACAGTCCCCAGTGATGCCCATGCTGCTGGCCCCCTATCCCATTTTTTTTAAGAGTACTTACTTGAGGCAGGGAAGGGCAGAGAGAGAGAGAGAGAGAGGGAGAGAGAGAGAGAATCCCAACCAAGCTCGTGCACTGTGAGCATGGAGTCCAGTGCAGGGCTCAGTCTCATGACAGATCATGACCTGAGCTGAAACCAAGAGTCAGACACTCAATCGACTGTGCTACCCAGGTGCCCCCATCACCATCACATTTTGAGTAGCAAGGTGCTAAAACTTTTCCTTTCTAATCCCATTCAATCCTCATAATAGCACCTTCATTTTTCAAAAGAGGAAACAGAATAACACAGATTAAATAGCTTGCTCAAGGTCAGAGAGCCTCTCAGGGGCAGATCTGGGATTTGAAGCCAGGCATGTTTGGTTCTACAAAGCACACAAGCACTGCGGATGATCCCTTATCAGGGAAACTAAACAGCAGCAACAACAACAACAACAACAACAACGTCAGTGATCTTACCAGCTGCCCTCAAGTACTTCATTATTAAGCACTTGCATTTATGGAATCAATTCTGGTAACTCATTTTTTTCTTTACTTTTTAAATTTGTGAAATATAAAACACTTATGGAGAAGTATGCAAAACAAATGTACAGCTTACCAAATTACTGTAATGGGAAACCAGTGTAACCACACCCACGTCAAGGAAGAGAATTCTTGTACATTTCCATGGCCATAACTAATACACAGAGTGCACTTACTGAGAAAGAAATCAGCTTTCTCCAGCCCTGGAAAGGAGCTCTCCGGCTGGGGTCCACCTTGGTCTCCTTGTCTCTGGGGTGACTTTAGAGTAGGCTGAGAAACAAAGAATTTAGGGGGTCCTTGCTGGCATGGATGGAGTGATCTCAAAGCTTTGCCTCCAGCCCACCGGGGCCAATCCTGCTACCACTTTTTCCCACAAACTGCCTTGGAAAGAAGAAAAAAAGTAAAAAGAGAAAGAAAAAAACAAATGTGAAGAAGCCGCATGAAGAAAACTGCACACAAGAAAGCTTGTCCTGGTTTAACAAACCCAACCAAAATCGGATTTATTTTTGCTGTTTTATTTGACAGTCTTTTTTTAAAATTTTTAGTGTTTATTTTAGAGAGTGAGAGACAGAACGTGAGCCGGGGAGGGGCGGAGAGAGAGAGGGAGACACAGAATCCAAAGCAGGCTCCAGGCTCTGAGCTGTCAGCATAGAGCCTGACGCGGGGCTTGAACTCAAGAACTGTGATCATGATCTGAGCTGCAATCAGGTGCTTAACTGATTGAGCCACCCAGGTGCCCTGACAGATGGTTCTAAAAGTTCATCTGAAAGGAAATTAATTAGGAAACCAGCAGGACTTTTTTTTTTTTTTTTTTTTTTTATAAGAACAGCAGAGTAATACTTTTAATAATCAGAATGGCTTAGGACTGGCTCCATATAGTTTTCCTGTTGAAAGACAAGCAGAGGGGAGCGTTGGCACACTGGGGGTCCCCACCGACCTCCCAGAGCAGGAAAGGGTGGAGGAGAAGGGGCAGCTTGAGGGACTGAGGGCACTCAGCTCCCCAGGGACTGTAATAGGCACCTGGTCTAGGAATGCATCTGGAAACAGATAGAAGGGAATGGATTTGAGAAATATGTTGGCAATCAGATGCAAACTAATTGGTAATTGATGGGTGTGAAGTATTAAGTAGAAGCTATTTCTGGGGCCTTATTTACCATTATTGAGCTTGTGAAAGCCATATAATCTACATACATATTCTTACATAGCAATATTCTTCTGCATAATCTGTATCTTTAAAGAAAGATTGAGATCCCCACTCAACAGATTATGCAAATCAGTCACAAAATACCCAGCACTTCCCTACCCAGTATGCAAACATACTCCACTCATTCCAAAATACCGATTCCCACGTGCTATGAATGCAGTAGTAACTCTCGGTGCAGTAGAACGCTGTTGCACAAAAATCAAGTACATGATCCAATCATATCCCAAAAGTTCCGTACATAGCTGTCTATATAATTACAATGTGCAGAGACAGGCATATTTTTTCTTATCTAACCCAGCCTGAAGTGGCAGGATTGGTGACACTTATCTCTCTCTCTTTTTTAAAGTAATCTCTACACCCAGTGTGGGGCTCAAATTCACAACCCTGAGATCAAGAGCCATGTGCTCTACTGACTGAGCCAGCCAAGGGCCCCTTGTTTCATTTTCTTAGTGCTATTATAACAACGTCTCAGAAAAGTTTACTCCTAAACCAGTCACAAAGGAAAAAGTGAAGGAGATGAGCAAGCCAAATCACAGAGATCTTCCTGAAGGGGGCTTCTTATAGAAAAATGGGAAGGGTCACCCGTTGTTAGGAAATCCTGCGGCTTTGTCACTTTTCTTTGATTTGACCATGGCTGTTACTGGACCTTCAAATTTGTGTGTACATATTACAGTCAACTTGACATATTAAGAGTCAACTTGAGGTGTTCAACAGTAAAATCTGCTGGGATTTTTTTTTTTACTGAGAATGCATTAAATCTACAGACCAATTAGGGAAAATTGCAATCTTTATAATATGGGGGTCTTCAGGCCTAAGAGCATGGTACATTCTTTCTTTCATTCAGAGCCTTTTAAATTTCTCTCCTTATTATGTGTTGTTTTCAGCATTGAAAACCTAATATAGCTTCCGCTAGATTTATTCCTCTATATGAAATGACTCTGATACTATGCAAATGAATATTTTAATATTTTAAAATTTTCATTTATTATCTGTTTGTTGGCATATAGAAAAACCACTGACTTAAAAGGTATTTACTTCATATCTAGGCACCTGCTAAATTCATTTACCTGAAATAATTTCTAGATCTATTTATTTATTTATTTATTTATTTATTTATTTATTTATTTTGAGAGAGCACGCAAAAGTGGGGAAGGGGGGAAGAGAGAGAGAGAGAGAGAGAGAGAAAGAAAGAGAGAGAATCCCAAGCAGGCTCCGCACTGTCAGCATAGAGCCCAAAACGGGGCTTGAACTCACGAACCGTGAGATCATGACCTGAGTTGAAACCGAGAGTCACACGCTTAACCAACTGAGCCACCCAAGTGCCCCTATAGACATAATCATGTCTTCTGCAAATAGTTTCATTCCCAATCCTTTTGTCTTGATTTCTTTTTCTTTCCTTTTGCACTAAGGTCATTGCAATGTTGAGGAGACGTGGTGGTAGCAGGTATGCTTCTAACTCACTCCTGATGAGACGAAATAAAAATTCATCTTTTGATCCCATTCAAGGGGACAGCTCCTGATATTTAACCATTTCTTGACTAAGGAATTTTTTCCTTTCCTATTTCAAAAGTGATATTCAGCACGTTCTTCCTCAAGAGTTCTCCACTTCTCCCTCTTGGGCCTCAGTATCAGTCTCTCCCTCTTGGGCCTCAGTATCAGTCTTTATGCAGAGGGCTCTTAGTCCCGGGACTGGGACAAGATGTCTGGTCTGGGTGTTGTCTGCTGGGTCCTGCTTGCTTCTGACACGGTCATCCGATCCTTCTTGGTCTTCGATTTTGGCTTCTGTTCTGCCCCATCTAATGATGGTGTCACTTGTCTTTGGGTACAAGTGTATCTGGATCTGGTGCCCCCTTCTGTGGCCTTTGGTCTAGGTATTCACATCGGGGCCACTTCATCCCTCACCCAGGCCACGCTTAGGGGGACAGCATGTGCTGCTTGCCCGAGGGCACCTTGTCAGTGTTGGCCCATGGGATGGGGACGTGTCTCTGCCTAAGGTGCCAAGTTACTTCTCCTCCTCCACTGTAGCTACCTTGTGAAGGTAAGGATGGCCGGGTGAGACCCTTTAGTCTCAAAGTGTCAAGGGGGAAATGGGTCACAAGGCCTGCGGGGTCTGTGTACTACAGACTGAGGCACATAGCAGGCATTGCTAAAGAACGCTCATAATTTTTCAGCCTAAGCCTTGTTTATTCCTCAGTCCACTGGTTTTCAAAGTATGGTCCTCCACCAGCAGCACCCAGAAGCTTATGAGACATACAAACTCTTGGGCCCCACACCAGACTTACTGATTCAGAGAGCCTGGGGTGGGGATTGGCAATGGATGTTTTGACAAGTGCCTGTGGTACAAGCTCAGGTTAAGGATGACTGCTCTAATCCTCTCATTACACTATGGGCCGGAAGCGCTGGGCAATGTGTAGGCAGGTGACTGGCCCTGACTGAGAAACCAGAAGGTCCCGGGTGTGTTTATCTGAGCCCCAAATAAGTGGGTTCCGGTGTAGGCCGGGTCCGCCCTAGTAGTGGGATTTCCTTCTTGCAGAAAGGGAGTTCACTCCCTGTCTGCTGGATGCTAGAGGCAGTTTCATTTTCCAGGACAGATTTGGTGAAGGAGGGCAGTTTCGGACTCTAGATCACTGGGGCAGCCTGCTCTACCCCAGGTCCTGGCTGCTGTAGCAACCCTGTGGGCCCATCAGGTAACACAGGGAATCAGAGGGTCCAAGTTAGGGGGTCTGAAACAGTCTAGTCTGTTCCCGCTCTGTGGTGGGAGGGAGGGGTGGCTGTGGGATTCCTGGTCTCTCATGCTCCTGTTTTCAGTTCCAAGGTATGGCTTCTCAGAGTCTGTTCTTCTCTAGTGACGGAACGAAGAAGAGGAGAAGGGGGAGGAGAAAATGATTCTTTCATTAAAAAAAATCCTGTCCCAGACGCATTAGCTTCTCGTCTCTTCTTCTGAGATGCCGACAGGCAGTTCCTAACACGTCAGCTGCTGTGGTGTCCCGGCTTCTCATACTCTCATGTCCAGTGGCAAGTTTTCCACGTCTGTCTCTCCAGATGAAACTAGTCAGAGAGCGGAAGTTCTCTTCCAAAACTCACATAGTCACTCAACAAACGACTCAAGAAGGTACTGACCAAAGGGTATCAGAAGACGGTCTACTATGAGCAGTGCCAGGGGATTTGCTAGGAATTTCACTGTGGGGGTGCAGCGGAGACCAACTGAGTTGGGGATGGAGCTAGAGAGCAGGTATTGGACAGCAGCATCAGGACCACCTGGGAACTTGCTGGAATTGCTAGGACTTGTTAAGAGTTGCAAAATCTCCGGCTGGAGTTGCATCTGTTGTTCTGAAACCTCCTGTTGATCAGGGGTAAAGCGAACGGTCAGTTAGGACAGACTGGTGTGAACCTGTTGCAATGCCAGGATACATCTGGATAAGAAAAGAAATTTAGGGATTATGCACACTACCAAATTCTTTTTTTTTTTTTTAATGCTTATTTATTTCTTGAGAGAGAGAGAGAGTGGGAGCAGGGGAGGGGCAGAGAGAGAGGGAGACACAGAATCTGAAGCAGGATCCAAGCTCTGAGCTGTCAGCACAGAGCCTGACGGGGGGCTTGAACTCATGAGCTGTGAGATCATGACCCGAGCCGAAGTCGGATGCTTAACTGACTGAGCCACCCAGGCACCCTTACCAAATTCTTTTATTAATCTCACCAAGGTACAATGAAATTGGCCTTAATGTTGAGAGGTTAAATGCAATGATGGTGAACATTCAGAAACAAATCAATGTAGACAGAAAGGTTAGGTGACTGATGAATTTTTGCAGAATTTAACATAAGAGGACAAAGCTTAGTCAATGCATGACATCAAAGAATTGGCAACAAGCCAAACACCCACATATAGAAAATACGACTTTTAAGTACATTTAATTCAATTATACTTAATTTGATCAAAATATTTCTTAAAATGTTTAAGGAATTTTCATGAATATAATATACATGATGTCACTGAGTAGAGTGTAGTGGTTATTAAGCTGGACCCTGAGAATCAAACAAAGCTAAACTGAATTCTGTGTTTGTCCTGGCATATCACACTTCTCTTCTTTCAAACTATAAACATACTTACAGATTCTCATATTTAAACAAATTTTTTTAAAGGTTTATTTTTGAGAGATGGAGCGCAAGCAGGGGAGGGGCAGAGAGAGAGGGAGACACAGAATCTGAAGCAGGCTGCAGGCTTTGAGCCGTTGGCACAGAGCCCGATGTGGGGCTTGAACTTACAGACTGCAAGATCATGACCTGAGCTGAAATCAGACACTTAACCAACAGAGCCACCCAGGCACCCCTGCAGATTCTCGTATTAATGAAAAAAATGCAGAATAAAAAGTGAAATCCTTCATTGATCCCCATTGATCCCCAACCCTATCTCATTTCCTCCAGTTTTTATAGACTGTGACTCTTTAGGCATTTATATGTGTGCATATACATAATTATACATATAATTAACATTTTTAGATTTTTGTATAAAAATGGGAAAACCTATGTAATATCCTGTAAACACTTTTTTAAAACTTCACAGTATTCTATGTGTGTGTGTGTGTGTGTGTGTGTGTGTGTTTGACAGAGAGAGAGAGAGAGCACACAAGATGGAGAGAGGATCCCAAGCAGGCTCCACACTTAGCATGGAGCCCGACGCAGGGCTCAATCCCACGACCCTGGGATCATGACCTGAGCCGAAATAAGAATCAGACCCTCAACCAACTGAGCTGCCCAGGTGCCCCCTCTAGAGATATGTCTATGGCTATCCATAGAGAGCGCTCTAATTCCTACAACTTCTGCATGCAATTCCACAGTCTGATTATCCCATAAACTACTCCTCTAATTATATATCCATACAGTCCCTGCGTATTTTACTGTTGCAATAATCTGCTGTAAATGTACTGTGGATGTGCAAATATTTTTCTACTAAAATGTAGTTCATTAAAAGATATGAGCTATTTTTGTTTTCAGAAGTATTACCAAGTTGTACTTTGAAAAGACACGGACCAATTTTTAAACCCATCTCCAGTGTTGGGGAGTTCTTTGTTCCCAGAGCTCGACCACAGTAGATATTATCTGTGTTTGGGTATTGGGACTTTCTTGCCAAGAAATTAGAGCTCATGAGTAATTTAATTGCATTTCCCTGATTCCTACTGGATCTGACCATCTTTCACCTTTATTGGCCCTTTGTCTTCATTTGAACAATGAATTTTCACAGAATCTTATTCACTACCAAGAGCTTCTCCTTTTCTTAGTTATTAAGCTGCATATAGATTCTGAATATTAATTTTGGCTATGCCCTAGGCAAAGGTCTCCAGATATGTTGCCTATCACTTTGCTTCCGGTAGATTTTCTATCTTTAATATAGGGTCATCGACTGTATTAGTCATTTCCATTTTGTTTCTTGAACCTTAAGTTTTGCTTAAGACCTCCTCTCCCCTCTGACTCCGAACTATTGTAATTTATTGTAACATTGGTATGCCACTTTCATGTTAGTGTCTGTCTCATCTGGAATTTACTTCTGTGGACAACTCCAGATACAGACTTTCTTCTTCTCTTCTTCCTCCCCCAGAGGATGTTCATTTATCTACTTGTTCATTCAATCATTTTACAATTGATATGTGGATTTCTGGGGCTTGTTACTCGATTCCATTGATCCACCTGTTCCTATGCCAATTATTATTCTATAATTACTACAGCTTTATATTCTGTGGATGTGGGAACCCCTTCCTTATTCTCTTAAAAAAATGGATTCATCTCCCACACTCCCCTCCATTTGAATGTTAGCATCTATTTACGAAGTTCCATTAAAAAAAAAAAACCTGCTGAGGGGAGCCTGGGTGGCTCAGTCGGTTGAGCGTCCGTCTTTGTCTCAGGTCATGATCTCATGGTTCATGGGTTCAAGCCCTGCATTGGGCTCCATGCTGACAGTGTAGAGCCTGCTTGGGATTCTCTCTGTCCCTCTCTCTGTCCCTTTCCCACTCCCACTTTCTCTCTCTCAAAAATAAATAAACTTAAAAAAAAACCATTGCTATTTTTATTGGTACTTCATTAAATTTATGGATCAACTTTCGAGAACTAATGTTTCTGGTATTAATATTTCCTTCCAAGAATTTTTGATGGTTAATATATTCGGAGCTTCCAGCATTCCCTTCAGACTTTACTTTTGCTCTCTCCATAGGTTTTACACAGTTCTTTTTGAATTACCAGCTGTTTAATTAGGCGTGCTCTGCCATTGAGAATGCAATGCTTTTTTTTCTTCTCTAATGTTTCATTTTCCTGGATGGGAAATCTCCTGACTTATAAACTTGTTCACATTTTGTTTTTCATTTTTGTTGATTATTTGTTTATATATTTATATATAGTTTGACACGCATATATGTGTTTTATTGCCCTTGTCAATTTTTTTTCAAAGAAAGTTAAATGACAATAGGAGCATCCTAGACATTTTTGTTGTAATGAAAATGTTCCCACTGTTTCATTATTTCAGATGTTTATGTGCAATGGGTTTTGAGTAGCAATGCTTGTTATCTAAGTGATTTTCTTTTCTTCCTTGGTTTCAAAGAGTATTTTTTTCAGTTTTTGCATTAAAAAAGCTATCATTGAAGTATAGTTGACATACAATGTCATAGGAGTTTCAGGTGTACAACATAGTGATTTGACAATAATTCTATTACTCAGTTCTCACAATGATAAGTGTTGTCACCATACATTACCTTATTGACTACATTCTCTATGCTGTATTTTTCATCTGTGACTTATTTGCATACAGTATTTTTTTAATTGGCTGAATATTATCAAATTCATAATTTGGTGCCCATTGGAAGCTTTTCTTTCCTCTCTTAATGTAACAAATTTAAACAGGATCTTTGTAATCAATAATCAACATTTATGTTCATCCCAGAAACAAAATTTATTAACTATATAGCAGAATAATTTTGCTATTTTATATTTAGAATTTGTATCTGTTTAAAATAGAAATTATTTATTCTTTTGTGACTACACGTATGTACTATGCTTGCCCTGTTTATTTGGGGGGTGTCTTTGTCTCCTAGAATAAGGTGGTTAAGTTTCCCATATCTATTTTCTTTCTTATGCTTTGTATAAGGAGATGTGTTCTTTGAAGTTTGATTTATTGATTTTTTTATTTAAAAAAATTTTAAGTTAACTCTACCCACAACGTGGGGCTCAAACTCACGACCCCGAGATCAAGAGTCACACACTCTACTGATTGAGCCAGCTAGGCGTTCCTACCCTTTGAAGTTTTTTTTTTTTTTAACGTTTTTTAAATTTATTTTTGAGACAGGGAGAGACAGAGCATGAACAGGGGAGGGTCAGAGAGAGCGAGACACAGAATCTGAAACAGGCTCCAGGCTCTGAGCTGTCAGCACAGAGACCAATGCGGGGCTCGAACTCACGGACCGCGAGATCATGACCTGAGCCAAAGTCGGCCGCTTAACCGACTGAGCCACCCAGGCCCCCCTGAAGTTTTTTTTTTTTTTTAAGTTTATTTGAGAGAGAGAAAGAGAGGAGAGGCAGAGAGAGAGAACCCCAAGCAGTCTGCACTGTTAGCGCAGAGCCCGACGCAGGGCTCAAACCCACAAACCACAAGATCATGACCTGAGCCAAACCAAGAGTTGGACACTTAACTGACTGAGCCACCCAGGCTCCTTTGAAGTTTTGATTGGCTTTCTGCATAAAATGGTCAAGGCCATATCCCTTTTTAAGAAATGATTTTGTTTAAAGAATCATAGGTTTTTTACAGACATGTCACTTTTCTTTATGGTAGAAAGGGGCTGGTCTGGCAATCGCTGGTTTTGGCTTCATGTCCCGTTCCCACTAGCATCTTTCACTGAGTTGTACTTATTTAAGTACAGGTAAGGCTATAGCTCACATTTAGCCTCAATTTCTAAATAGCTGTATTTTCTAAATAGCTCAAAATCTGAATTAATAATTCTTTTGCTGTAGTGTTTCATAATTAAAAATTTTTTAGGGTAGGGGCACCAGGGTGGCTCAGTGAGTAAAGCATTCGACTCTTGATCTCAGCTCAGGTCATGATCTTGAGGTCGTGAGACTGAACCTCGTGTCAGGCTCCATGCTATGCATGGAGCCTGCTTAAGATTCTCTCTCCCTCTGCCCTTCTCCTCTGCTTGTGCTACAAAATTTAAAACAAAAATTTTTCAGGGGAACCCTCTTACCCTGTTGGTGGGATGCAAACTGGTGCAGTCACTCTGGAAAGCAGTATGGAGGTTCCTCAAAAACTTAAAAATAGAACTACTCTATGACCCAGCAATTGCACTACTAAGTACTTGCCAGAAGGATACAAAAATACAGATTCAAAGGGGCACATGCACCCCAATGTTTATAGCAGCACTATCAACAATAGCCAGAG